AAAAACCTGCAAGAGGATAACATACCCAGAAGGAACAGAGCCGGACGCTGTTATAGGTGAAAACTAGCTGCACAGTACCCCATGCCCCTACCAGTGCAAAAACTACCACTTACCCCAAGGTAAACAAGGGAGGAAACCCCCAACACTCCCAGGGTGGTCAATCACTGAGCAGCAAAAGACCAACAGAGGTAGACCCCAAGGTGACTTGTGGAAGATAACCCCAAGCCCCGAGGGCAGTACATACAGGGCACTCAGGGAAGGGAACCCTAACCACATGCAGCCCGAGTACCTGAGAATATTACTCCCAGCTCGCACACCACCGTACGAGCAGTACTGGACACAAGGTACAGCACAACACAGAGAACCTGGAGCTGGAGCCACACGACCGAGCCACAATCACATTAGCCGAGAACTGACAGGTGGATAGCCAGCGCGATGTGTCTGGGGCTCCCCCTTCCCCCTCCTGGGGGGAGGAGGGAGCTGCGCACACGGCAAGTGTGACGTCATGCTCGTTTGCTAGGTTTTCAATTGGGGAGTTCTGTTTACTTGTTAGTTTTCTGTGTTTTCTGTAGTAGTTTTAACCAGATTAGGGGTTTGTTTTGGGTGGGTGACCTTTCTACCTACCTTTCTGTTACCTTTCTGGGTGACCGGCCTGGTCGATGGCAGACATAGAATGCTCCACACACCAAAGTTGGAATATGCAGTGGTTGTATGGTGCCCATATCTTAAGAAGCACATCAACAAACTGAAAAAGGTTCAAAGACATGCCACTAAGTGGCGCCCAAGACTTAAAAAGACAAGAGCTATGAATAGAGAGGTTAGAGGCCTTAAATATGCCAAAACTAGAAGACAGAAGAAAAAGGGGTGATATGATCACTACGTACAAAATAGTAACAGGAATTGATAAAATTGATAGGGAAGATTTCCTGAGACCTGGAACTTCAAGAACAAGAGGTCATAGATTTAAACTAACTAAACACAGATGCTGAAGAAATATAAGAAAATTCACTTTCACAAATATAGTAGTAGACAGTTGGAACAAGTTAGGTGAGAAGGTGGTGGAGGCCAAGAACGTCATTAGTTTCAAAGCGTAAAATGACAGAGTGCTGGGAAGACGGGATACCACGAGCATAGCTCTCATCCTGTAACTACACTTGGGGTAATTATACTTGAGGTGGAGGTGGAGTCGCTCTACTCACGAGAAAGGAATGTAGTTTCAAGGAGGTGGTTATCCCGGGCTGCGAGGGGGTTTAGAGACTAAATAACAGGCACCATGACAATGGGAGGACCTAGAGTAGTAGTAGCAGATATATAACCCTCCACCAAACGACAGAAGACCCGGGCAGATTATGACAAAAACAACATGGCAGTTAACAATATAATTGAGAAGGCAGCCTCTGCTGCCTGTAGAATTAGAGACCATCTGCTCATCATGGGGGACTTCAATAATGGAAGGATAGCCCGGGAGAACAAGGAACTGCATGGAGGAGAGAAAACATGAAGAGTTAAACTACTGGAGGTGGCAACAAAAAACTTTTTAAGCCAGCATGTCAGGGAACCCACACGAATGAGGGGAAACAATGAACCAGCGAGACTCGACCTAGTCACTCTGAATGACTCCAACATAAGGGAAATTGACTTTGAGGCCCCAGTAGGAATGAGCAATCACAGTGTACCAACGTTTGAATATCTGGTCGAAGAAGAGTTAAAGTACTCGAGGAAGGGAACTGAAAACAAAAGGCTAGCATTTTGTAAGGAAAACTATGAGGACATAAGAAAATTTCTAACGGATATGACATGGGAAACAGAGCTCAGGGAAAAGACGGCCCAAGACATGATAGAATACATTATGATGAAGTGTAAGGAGGCAGCAGACAAGTTTATCCTGGCCCAAAAAGAAAATAATAAATGCAGATGAGAAACTCATGGTTTAATCAGAGATGTAAGCTAGCTAAACAACTAAGTAAAAGAGCGTGGAGAAACTATAGAAATAACAGGACACTTGAGAGCAGAGAAGGTTACCAGAGAGCCTGGAATGAATACGTCAGGGTGAGAAGAGAGGCAGAAGGGCAATATGAAAATGACATAGCAAGCAAGGCAAAGACAACCTAAATTGCTACACAGCCACATCAGGTGAAAGACAACAGTGAAGGAACAGGTAATGAAACTGAGGATAGGGGCAGACAGATTCACTACAAACGACAAGGAAGAGTGTGAGGAACTCAATAAGAAATTCCAGGAAGTCTTCACAATAGAGCAAGGAGGATTCCAAAAAATAAGAGAAAGCACCACTAGAGGAGTTTAAGATTACTAGAGGGGATGTAAGGAAGCTTTTGATAGAGCTGGATGTGACAAAGGCTATGGGCCCGGAAGGAATATTACCATGGATACTAAAGGAAGGAGCAGAAACACTGTGCCTGCCACTCTCCATGGTGTATAACAAATCACTGGTAACAGGTAGACTGGCAAAAATTTGGAAGATGGCAAACGTAGTCCCAATATACAAGAAGGGGGATAGACAGGAAGCACTGAACTACAGGCCAGTGTCCCTAAATTGCATACCATGCAAAGTTAATGGAGAACATTGTGCAAAAAAAAAGCTAGTGGAACATCTGGAGCGAAGGAACTTTGTGACACAACACCAACTTGGTTTCAGGGATAGCAAGTCATGCCTCATAGGATAAATTGAATTCTATGCTCAGGCAACAAGAATCAGGCAAGGTCCGGACAAATGGTTTTTGCTCTACGCGAGGTTTCTGTCCACGCTGAGCTGGCCTTAGGACACCTGCGTTATCATTTGACAGATGTACCGCCCCAGTCAAACTCCCCACCTGATAATGTCCTCGGAGCGGATCGAGGTGGGCAGACTGCATATTTTTGGATTGACAAAAAGCCTTTGACACAGTACCACACCAGAGACTAGTGCAAAAGCTGGAGATGCAGGCAGGAGTGAAAGGGAAGGTATTCCAATGGATAAAGAAGTACCTAAGTAACAGAAGACAGCGAGTCACTGTGAGGGGTGAGGCCTCAGATTGGCGAGGCATCACCAGTGGAGTCCTGCAGGGTTCAGTCCTTGGACCTATACTATTTCTGATATATGTAAATGATCTACCCAGAGGGTATAGAATCATTCCTCACATTGTTTTCTGATGATGCAAAAATTATGAAGAGGATTAAGACAGAGGAAGATAGTATGAGGCTACAAGATGACCTAGACAGACTGAATGAATGGTCCAACAAATGGCTACTAAAGTTCAACCAGAGTAAATTTAAGGTAATGAAACTAGGCAGTGAAAACAGGAGGCCAGACACAGGATACAAAATGGGAGATGAGTCCTTCATGAAACGAACGGAGGGAAAGATCGAGGAGTTGATATTACACCAAACCTGTCTCTTGAAACCCACATCAAAAGAATAACATCTGTGGCATATGCAAGGCTGGCTAACATCAGAACTGCCTTCAGGAACCTGTGCAAGGAATCATTCAGAACCTTGTATAGCACATATGTAAGACCAATCCTGGAGTATGCGGCCCTCGGCATAAAGCCCGTACCTTGTCAAACACAAGATGAAGTTGAAAAAGTTCAGAGGTATGCCACTAGACTAGTCCCAGAATTAAGAGGCATGAGTTATGAGGACAGGCTGCATGAAATGCACCTCACAATACTGGAAGACAGAAGAGTAAGAGGAGACGTGATCACTGCCTACAAAATTTTCAGAGGAATTGACAGGGTAGATAAAGATAAACTGTTTAACACTGGTGGTACATGAACAGGGGACACAGGTGGAAACTGAGTACCCAAATGAGCCACAGGGACATTTGGAAGAACTTTTTCAGTGTCAGAATAGTTAACAGATGGAATGCATTAGGCAGTGATGTGGTGGAGGCTGACTCTATACACAGTTTCAAATGTAGATATGATAAGAGCCCAGTAGACTCTGGAATCTGTACACCAGTTGATTGACAGTCAAGAGGGGGGGGACTAAAGAACCAGAGCTGAACCCCCCCAAGCACAACTAGGTGAGTACAACTAGGAGAGTACACATGTGCATTTCTATAGGCCATTGCTCCTCGTGCCTCTCTGAGGGGGGCCAGGTTCTGGCTAGTGGTCCCCGGTAAGCATAGAACTCCATTCACACTGACTGATGCCAAAGTCTAATAATATACATATCAGCCTGGATAGCTCCAGGGACCCGAAGGGGTTCCCCCCAGAAAAACAGTCACATTTATAATCCTTTCAGTTTGAACGATAACCTTTGGCCTCAAGTTACGTATCTTACACTGTCTAAAGACCTTTATAATAGAATCATGAGGTAAAACTAGTCGAGAATCATCACAAGAACCCCCATTTAGAGCCTTCGGTAATTACAGGAAATGTCTATATAAAAATAGATTGCCAGAAAGATGAAGTGATTACCAAAGGATCCCCTTTATCATTTGTGATATTACACTTACAAACAACAAGAATGGAAGGGCTCTCAGTTTTAAAGACAATCATTTACAATAAAAACTTGTAGAATCCGAAAACCTGGGGTCTAACTGGGTTGTCAGATATTTTTAAATAAAACTACCAGTACAGTACCACAAATGTTAATAATGCTTAAGCTACAGATACATAGTTTGCTCCAGAAATGTCTTTATGTTCCATATAAACAAAGCCCTTGTGATGTTGCACATGTCCAGTGTTTCGCATCTCTGTGAGATTTCTATTTATCTCCTCTTACTTCCCCATAAGGAATAACTTGTCTAGTCTTACTCTTCAGTGCATAATACAGGTAAGAGTTGATGATCTAATCATTAGAAAGAGATAGAAAGAGATTGATAATTAATTTTATAATATATAACCTTATCATGACTTGATAATGGTCCAGGATGAACTAAAACATTTCTTTCACTTCATAGGTGAGGGGGTTGGGTTAATGTTGAGCAAAATTATATGATATTTTCCGAATTCTTAAATATCTATGTAAACAACAAGCTATGACTTAAAATAACTATTTCAAATGTTCATGTGTATACCTGATCTGTAGGTACAATAAACAATAACAAAAATTATATTCCATACCTTGTTAGCCTCCTCTCTAATGATGCTATACTTGTCCACCAAGCCACTGCCAAAAGTGTCCATAACTGAGCTGGTCCCTGTTGGCTGTACACCTCCAATGCCACCACTAGTTAACACACCTATTTGACCATCATACAACATTAAACTTTTCATAGACTGTAGTAGTAATAAACTTATCACACTAAAACTACATTAATCTTTAATTTACAAGTTTAACTTCATTTAATCATATATTAATTTATTTAAATTTCTAGCACTAACAAAAGAATTTACAAACTAAAATATGTACAAGTATTACTAGCCTGCCAATACCAAGACTTCTCACATCCTGTACAATTTCACAAAGCTCTTGCAAGCAGAACATCACCCACAATGTAACTCCTGAGTCTACATTTTGTTTCTCAACCACAGTGCCAGCAGTTATTGCTCTACTGCCAAGAAAGAAGAGAATGTGATAGACAAGTGAGTGTCATGGCAAAATGTTTGTCTTGCCCCTTCAGTGTACTCAATCCCAAATTAACATTCCTCTCTCTTGCAATGCCAGCCATATAACAGTAGTAAGAGGCCTACAAGGACCTTATGCCTGTTTTGGAATATCAAGTCTACAACTGAAAAATTACGAAAAGATTACAGAGAGAATAATCACACTAATGTGACTGCATCAATGAGAAAATCTGTAGCAGCAGTGATGAGGGTTTGAACCTATGCAGTGGATGTTCCCACGCACACGCTTCTACCAACTAGACCACGACATAGTAATAAGGATTGCAACCTGGAGTTCTTCTGAACACAAGGATTTCCTGAGGCTTCTACTGAAGCCAGAACAGAATTTTCACACAATCAGTGGGGTGTGCGTGGGAACACCCACCGCAAAGGTTCGAACCCTCATCACTGCTCCTACAGATTGTCTCATCACAAAAAGAACTTTAGACCAATTACTTAGTATATTTACATAATTCTGGCTCACTTAAGACTGACAGATATTAGCTACTTACCACTTTCAGAAGTTTCTCCAAATACCGTTGAAGACTCTAAGGACAGACTGCGTAGGTGGTCCTCAACTGCACCAATATCACCCCTAAGGATTAAAAATAAGGTAATGTTGATGTGAAAATCATTTGAGCAAAAACACTTTGATGTTCCATGTGGTAAGAAACAATGGTCTTGGCCATAATAAAGCTGCCATAAAAAACACCAAATACAAAAATCAGTGGAGAGCCTAGAATGCATAGTCTGACAATGGACTTTCTGAATGGAGAAAGTATTGGTAACCATGGCTGGGAACCAAGGAAATGACTAAATCATTCGGTCCACAATGTTATCCAACTTCTCCAGGACTGATAACATTATCTCAGTTGGAGGAGAGAGAGAAATGATTTCACACTGATTCCAGTTGAGATGTAACCCGACTGATGCAGATACATTGTGATCATAAAGAACCCTATGGTTCCATGTGGATGCAGAGGTGCATTAAATAAGTGTAAAACACATTGCATATTCACTTGAAGGAAGTCTCATCCAACTATCATACCACTGAAATTTCATGAAACAGTGAGGCTGTCTGCTAACACATTTGACACCACATGAATGTGGAATCTAGAGAGGACAATATGCAGAGAAACCAGAAAAAAGGTGATGGCTAATGTCCCACATCAGAGTAGAGGAGAACACTAGGATTCCTGAGCCAGTGTCAAGCAAAGACCTGAGGAAACATCTCAACTCTTTCAGCGAAACACATCCCAAAGGGCAGTGGTGCAGTGCTGCCGGAGCTCACTGGAGCGCTGCTCCGGTCCCTCTCCCTCTGCAAGTGGTTGATGGAAAAGGGAGAGAGGATGAGATGAAAGGGAGATGATGGCTTGTGGGTGATGATTGATCGTGGCAGGTAATATTAGTATTACATCACTAATAAGTTAATAGTGTTATGATACAGTATTTCTTTTTTTCTTTAAAGATTCAATAATATTTAAATTTGTATATATTTAAAAAGTAAACAGGCTGAGTTGTATTGGAATGAATCTGGAAACATAATTGTATTGGTACGAATCTAGGAACATATTTGAATTGGTACAAATCTGGAAACATAATGCCCAACGCACGTCAATGCTTCCTGTCTATTTATGCGAGACAAACAGTACGAGACAAAGTTGCCAACCTACCACTTTGTATATAAATATTCAGCGATAATGTTCATGGCTTTAGCAGTAGTTCATTAGACAGGTATTTTTTATTTATCCATTCCTTCCTCCCTCCCTGTCCCAACCCAAATCTTTATCCTGACCCCTACCAAGTGCTATCGTTGTAATGGCTTGGTGCTTTCTCCTGCTATTTCCCTTCCCTTCATATACACCCCTAGATCTCTTTCTTTATCAGAATTCTTTAAAGATTTCTCACATAATACATAGGTTGTGTGGGGTCTATGTTCTCCTATTCCACATTCCATAACATGGCATTTATTAACATTAAATTCCATTTGCCAAGTGGTGCTCCAGATACTTATTGAGAGTGAGTGAGGAACCAAGCCCGGCGCACGAAGCATGAGCTCACAGCACTGCTGTTCAGCTTGTGACCACAGCATCGTCTAATAATGTCAAAAAATATATATAACTTGTATTATTTAGCCATGATAGTATTACAGAAGAGCCTGAGTGTAATAATGCCTGTGTACGATGTTCAAATATTAGTGATTCAATGCTGTTCACGATGTTCACAGCACTAGCCACAGCACCACAGCATTATTTCGTCCATCTAGGAATCTTCAAATGACTTCTTACGTTCCTTTACAAAATAAACTAGGGGTCAATTACATATTTACAGGATTTAGTGACCAGTATTGTGATAACAGCAAAATTGTGGTTATAATAAGCACTGTGCGTAGTATTGTGGGAGGAGGAATTGTGGTGAGGGAGCGAGGGAGAGAATCGAGGTAGCCCCAATGTGTGTGGCAGCCACTCTTGTTTTTCTCATCATATTAGCTTAGTGGCTAGTTATGGTGAACGCATTTGTACATGGGTATATACAATGTGTGTATATAGTGTAGCAACAGCGACTGGAGTATGTTGGGAGGAGCTATTTTGGTGAGGGAGGTGACGTAATTGTAGTGTCGTCTGCTGGCTGCTGTGTGATTTCTCATGCAGTGAATGGTGATCACTGTAAAGTTTGGATACAATACCGGCTTACTTGCATAGTTTTGGTGAATACAACATGTAGATAGGTATACATAACGTGTGTAAATAGTGTAATACAAACAATAACAGTATGGTGGGAGGAGCAATGTTGGCGAGTAAGATGTTGGAGGAGTGAGGGAGAGACTGGATGTTGGAGGAGTGAGGAGAGACTGGATGTTGGAGGAGTGAGGGTGTGGCAGTTAGGGTGTGGTTAGGTTGAGGGTGTGGTTTGTCTCGGAGACTGTTTGTCTCCGCAATTGCGGAGTTCTGAGTGTGTTGATGGTGAATGTATATAATGTGTGATAGTATATAGTGTGTAAATAGACTGTATATATACATAAATTAGCATGATACAATGGAAATATGTGCCGGATATGTGTACACACGTCATGCACGTAACACAGTGTCTTCGGACAGTACGGATGTTCTACTGCCATAATATAGTGTACGTGTTCATTATACATAGGATTGGCACGTAAAAGCATATAAAATGTATTTGGAACTGTGCACAGAAAATAAACAAAAATATATTCGCGGCACCTCACGCATCCTGCCCTGAGTGCCCTACCAGCCCCGGGGGCGTACGCCACGGGCAACCAAGGCATGATGACGTCACGCACGAACTTACGGACCCCATAGCAGCCAAAGTACGTACAATTTTGACCTTCTGTTACTATACCCATACTCAGGGAAGGGTTTTTGACACTTTCAAAGCAGAAAAAAAAATTTTTTCCAGAGATTTTATTTCCTGCGCAATGGGAGGGTGTCATATTTGGAGGCCGCGCAGTTAAGGGGTTAAACTACATGGACCTCCTCTAATTGACTGGAATCCTGAGCCATATGCCATATGATGGCTGCGGTACCACAGATCGGCAGATGACACCAGGACAAGAGTTGCTTCACACCAACGTAAACATCTCACACCTGACCCTCTGTGGAAACTATTGTGAAACTTCTCACTGGTTGTATTTTGTGAGCACTGTTTTAACTTCTTAAATTGATAAATACATGATTTATGTTTTTTCTTTATTTGTTTGATAATTATATTTTATGATAATTAGCGAGTACAAACATGAAATACTTAATCGTGTGACATACACAGTACAAAAACAGGATCGGAAATGACAGTCTATCAGGCCCACCAGAGCTCCAGCACCTATAAAATTGGCACTGCACCCCTGCCAAAGAGTATACAGTATCATGAAGGCAAAAGTCTGCCTGCCAATAAACCTACCGAGTTCCTGGCAGGATGGGCAATGTTTAGTTTAGATACCTGGCTCTAAACTTTATCTATCTAAACTTTAGATACAGTACTCTCAACCTTTGAGAGTACTGCCCCATTACATTGCACTGTTAGTGACTTCTGAAGTCTTGAATTTAACTCTGAGATCAGGACTACAGCTTCGAACACTAAATTCTAAATTTTGGTGTGAGAACCCATTTGCTACCCCTCATGATTGATTACTCAATTGAGGACCTAACAACCTGTTATTGGAGGACCAAGTAATTGGACCTCGGCTATTGCTCTAGCTTCCTAATTACCACTGTAAAGTAAATAGGGAATACTTTCCCATCTGGCAACCACTCTGGAGCTTATGAAAGTGGCAAGTCAAACTAGGCACAACTCCACGACTAGTGCAGGGAAAAATTGGACAAATTCGCATTGGTTATGGGTTGATCTCTAATCCTATGCACTCTCCTTGTCTCTTTGAGGGAGCCAGTTTTGTTAATCTGGCTCCCTACATATTAAGAAAAGCACAGTAGCCTGACACTGATAATGCAGTAGGCTCTGAGGAGCCATATTAGGCTAGCATTAGGGTACTGCCAAAGGATAAAGCCATGTATAAGATGACAAATTCACATATCCACATACTGTGCATCTTGACTCTGTCCATTTTGCCTTACAAGATGCTCCACTGTACACATTCACACAGGACATATAATAACATAGGCTTTATATATTGAATATAGAAGTTTACTGCATACACACCGGGGTTGCATGAAGAGGTCTGGAGACTGATTGGACCCTGACCCACGAGTTTCTGATGTCTGAAGTCCAACTGTCATCTCCAAGCCCGGAAGTTCAAGACTGGAATAAAATATGTTATACAATTCCTCTGATATATAAATTATCACAAATACACACTTCTAAGGAACATATAAACAAGCTAACAACAGCAGCATACTCTATGCTGGCAAAAGTTAGAACATTATTCAGAAACTTAACACTTTGGCTTGGTAACGATGCAGCATTGCGTTATTTATTCAAATATTTGCAGAAAATCCAGTTTTTATCCGATTTTTTTTGGACCGATTTTAAACTGAGCGCCAACGTCTTCCCATTCTCTTTGTTAGGCCATGTGGCACCCAGGCGGTGCGAGCTGCGCCGTAGGCCCACTGTTTTCGCTCCATTGTTGTGACCGGTCACACTTCCCCTCGCCTCCACAACGTGTGAACATTTCGGCTATTTTCCATGGCTATATTTCTTAGTGCGGATTTAGATACTATCTGCGCTTACTCCACGATGAATAGTGATCATGAACAAGGCCCTTCCAGGAAGAAATCAGCGAAAACAAAGCGTCAGAGTAAGAAGCTAAGTAGTGTACAGGAAAAGTACAAGCGAGTGCGACTCACACTCTCTAAGTTTCAGGCTGTATTTGATGATTTATCTGAGTTATCTAATGACGAAAGTGTTGTTGAGACTGACACTGATGAAGTTAGTGAATGTATTGAAACAGAAACAGCAGAGGAGAATTTTGATTCTGATGGAAGTGAGGAGTCTGAGGTTGAGACTGCTACACGTGTACGGCGAGGTACTGGAGCTCGTGCCAGAGCTAAACGTACCACACGTACCCCACCACCAACAGGTTCTGATAAAGGGTGGTGTAGTGACAATACTCAACCCTTTGTAAAAAGTTTTACAGCCACACCAGGCTTGACTCTTCCTGTACCTACCACTGCTTTTGGTTTTCTTCAACTATTTCTCACTCAAAGCTTGCGGAAATATATGACTTATGAAACTAATTTGTATGCTTCCCAAAGCAATGTACGTACTGGGACAACCTCAAACAAGAAATGGGAACCAATAACAGTGAAAGACATGGCACAATATTTGGGACTGACGATCTTGATGGGTATTTGCCCGTTGCCAAGAATTAGAATGCACTGGCAAACAGGTAGATTCTGGCATATACCTCGTTTCAATACGTTTATGACTTCTAAACAATATGAAATGATTGGAAAGTATTTTCATATTTATAACAATAAGTTCATTCCACAAGGCCGCAATCTAGACAGACTAGTCAAAGTTCAATCAGTCATGCAATGTCTCACACAGAAATTCAAGACATTATACATTCCTCAGAAAATTTTTAGTTTGGATGAAGGCACAATGGCATGGCGTGGCCGTCTAGCTTTCAAGACCTATAATCCCAATAAGCCTGATAAATATGGAATAAAGCTCTACATGCTAGCTGAATCCAAGACTGGATACATCTTTGATTTTGAAATTTATTCAGGAAATGGGAAAACGACTATTCAAACGGTAATGAGCTTGATTGAACCATTGAAGAACAAAGGTTACCATTTATATATGGACAACTATTATAATTCAGTTCGATTGAGTGAATTGCTGTTTGAAGTAGGGGTATACACCTGTGGTACCATCAGAATGCAGCGTGGGGCACCCAAATCCCTTCAGATCAGTGCAAAGGGTAAATTGCCGGTAGATAAAACTGTATTCAAGCAGAAGGACAATACTTTCATAATTTTGTGGAAAGATAAGCGAGTTGTTTCACTCATAACAACATGCCACAATGCAGATACACGAGAAGTCGAACGTAGGAAACGAGTACGGAATCGAGATAGAACATCTCCAGTGCAACAGGTCACTGTCAACAAGCTAAACGCAATCTGTGACTACAATACAAACATGAAAGGTGTTGATCACTTTGATCAAATGGTTAAATATTATCACTTCACCCAAGGAAAAGTCTCAAATGGACAAAGAAAATGACCTTCTAATATTTGCAAATGGCTATCCACAATGCTTATGTGATGTACAAATACTACACAACAGATAGAAGGACACTCTCATTACTCCATTTCCACGAACAAGTCATTTCGACACTACTGTTCTATCATCCTAGTAAATGGCCTCAGCAAAATGATGAAATCCCACATGCTCCTGAAGTAAATGCCACTGGAGCCAATGTTACAACCCCCGGACCATCAACACCAAGACCTTCAGGTGTGAGGCGCCCACTATTCACTTCACCCGTACCTGTAGCTGTACCTTCATCGTCTGAGTCAGAAGACGAGACTCTGATTATCCCTAGTGGTGCTTCTGCTAAGACAAAACCCCGTATTGTGGATAATCCAGAACATCTCAACAGAAACTTGTCCCATACCCAAGTAAAGATAGGAAGCGTCTGAGGTGTCATGTTTGCAGAATGTCTGGTAAAAGGAAGGACACACACTATAAGTGCAAGACGTGTGATGTGGCACTGTGTCCTGCACCATGCTACAGCAAATACCATCGAAAGAGACAATTCTGGGGTGATAAGCAGTAATGCTTACCCACCATTCACTCCACCTATAAAAAAACATGGGTTGACCCGGGAGTAAATCGGGAGCCGGACGGCCGAGCGGAAAGCACGCGGGACTTGTGATCCTGTGGTCCTGGGTTCGATCCCAGGCGCCGGCGAGAAACAATGGGCAGAGTTTCTTTCACCCTATGCCCCTGTTACCTAGCAGTAAAATAGGCACCTGGGTGTTAGTCAGCTGTCACGGGCTGCTTCCTGGGGGTGGAGGCCTGGTCGAGGACCGGGCTGCGGGGACACTAAAAAAGCCCCGAAATCATCTCAAGATAATCTCAAGAAAGAAGACCCTTTAGGAAACGTTTTCCTGGAGCAGGTGGAGTGGATAAAACTAATGTTCATCCCATGTCATGCTCCACAAACAACACTGTATTGGTGAGTACAAAAAGTTTTAGTTTTTTATATAGTTTGTATTGTTGTCTCTATTGTATTGTATTGGCAATATTGTTCATCAATTTGCCCTTATATGCATATATCCATCTAAAGCATTCTATTAGGAACACTTTCATACCAAAATGAGCGCTGTAACATGAAAATTGATGTTAGCAATCGGAAAAAATACTAAACATTTGTGGGCGGGAATTGAGGGTGTAGCGGGTGGGCAACTGGGCGCTCCCTCGTGGGTAACGCGTGGCCCATCTTCAACTCGTCCGCGGGTGGAGCGTGACCAGGTTTTTTATTTTGTATGCATATAGTCCTCTAGAGAATTCTATTGCAAACCTATTGATACCAAAATGAAAGCCCTAGGACAAAAATTGAGCTGACCAAAGTGAAAAAGAGTGTACACATTTTATCGCTCTTGCGCGCTCCCGGGTAAATCGCTCCCACATTCTTGGTTTGCTGCAGGTGGTAAGCCGGGCTTTTGGAGTTTATATGCATTTACTTGTCTAGGAAATTCTATTGCGAACACATTGATATCAAATTGAATACCTTAGGATGAGAATTGAGGTGACAAAGTTGAAAAGAGTATACACTTTTCAGAATTACCGCGCGCTCCCGTGGAATGCCGAAACCCACCATGGGTAGTAATTACCTAAGTGTAGTTACAGGATGAGAGCTACGCTCGTGTAGGTAGCTCTCTACTAGTAGGTAGTGCGGAGCTCGCGCGCCCAGAGCATCAAAGTGTTAAGTAAGGAGGCATTTAGGGCACTTTACACTGCCTATGTGAGACCAGTCAGAGAATGCCGCCCCATCATGGAGGCCCCCACCTGAAGAAACACGTAAGGAAATTGGAAAAGATTCAGAAGTTTGCGACGAGACTCGTCCTAGAGTTGAGAGGGATGGGGTATGAAGAGTGAATGAAGGAATTGAACCAAACAATGATAGAAAAAAAGGAGGGAGTGGCGAGATATGATAGAAACATATAAAATACTTAGGAGTGTTGACAGAGTGGAAATAAACAAAATTTTCACACTGAATATTAACAGAACAAGGGGGACATGGGTGGAAGCTAGAAACTCAGAAGAGTCACAGAGATGTTAGTAAGTTTTCTTTTAGCGTGAGAGTAGTGGAAAAATGGAATGCACTTAAGGTTGAGGGATTTGTTGCTTGCATGTGCTTGTTGTTTTGTTTCTTAGGAGTACTTTTGGTACTCCTAGATCTCACTGATAAATCAGAGTTTGACCTGTTAAAGAGCAGGTTGTGAAAGTAAACTTTATTCATATTTTAAAACTAGATATAATAGGGAAATAGGACAGGAGTCATTGCTTTAAACTAGTGGCTAGAAAGGCAGGATCCTAGAGTCAATACTCAATCCTGAAGGCATAAATAGGCGAGCGCATGCACACACACTTATCCCAAGTTCTTTCCCAAGAGGCAGACAAGTGGAGCTCCAGCATATTTCAACAATCCTAAGTACTGTAGTACAGGTTGATGATAGTGAGTGGTGTCCCAGAAAACAAAGGTATAGTGCTTTTGAAAAATAGGTGAGGTAACAGGAATGTGCTAAGGAAAGTGAAAAATCAGATGAGAAAAAGTTGCCCTAGTGTTTCCAGTGCAGAGAAGAACATTCAAGATGGCCACCAGCAAGAGGAAAAACATAACAGAGCTTGATTTTGCAGGATTCAATGAAGAAAGCATTGATATTAGCAGTCTACATAACAAGTTGGTAAAATTACATACTATAGTGAACTCTCATGTAGAAATAATTAGTAAATTGAAAGAAAGTAATGACAATTTGAATAGCAAAGTTGTATGTCTTGAGGGTTTAGTGAAAGACTTGTGCAAGGATAAAAATCAATTGGAAACAAATTGCGAAGCCATGGAAGTGGAAAATAAACTCTTAAAAATAGCTTTGGAAGAAGTTAAAATAAATTTAAATATAAATGACTACAATAGGTTAGGTAAGGAAATTCAACAGGAGAAACAGCTTTTGTCAGCACAGATGGAGGAAGTTAAACAGGGAATAGAACAGTGCAAGAAAGATATGCAACTCACCTATGCACAAGTGGCCAAGGAGAAGGAAAGAATTGTAGCAGTAAAGGAAGCCAAA